GGATGGATGAAGGGATGGATGGATCTATAGATGGATGGATGGATGGATGGATGGATGAAGGGATGGATGGATCTATAGATGGATGGATGGATGGATGGATGGATGAAGGGATGGATGGATCTATAGATGGATGGATGGATGGATGGATGAAGGGATGGATGGATCTATAGATGGATGGACGGATGGATACCAAAGTAAAACAATATTAGCCTGTGTTTGAATAGAGATGGAATCCCGTTGATGGTTTCTCCGACCGTTTGCTACCAAGTGACCGCTGGCAGTGGAGTGACATCTCAGGTCTGGAGCATCGACCCCTGGACGGCTTCCAGCTCCCCTCTGGCAGCTGGGAGTGGGAGGGAGACTGGCATGTAGATGAAAACCATGAGGGAGAGCCCACAGAGAAAGATGTAAGCGCTTTGATTCATTTATTGGCCTTTTTGTTTTTGTGGTATCAACAATTCAAGTGTTTGGTTTGCAGGGGTGGACATATGCCATGGATTTCCCTGCCACCTACACCAAAGACAAGAAGTGGAACTCCTGCGTCCGCCGCAGGCGATGGCTCCGCTACAGACGATATAAAGCCATGGACAACTGGGCCAAGGTGGGTGTGTTTCACACTAACTAAATAAGCCATGTTTATTTAAAGCTCTGTGAAATAGTCTTTGCTACTCAGATGCTTTCTGCTATTAGTTTATTTTGACACACTTTAAAGTTTTAGAAGCTTATTAGGTCTCAGGTGTTTAAAAAAATAAAAAATTGATCTTGGGGAAAATAATGCTTTAGGAAATATTGGAGATCTTTTTTTTTTAATTTAATTTATGAAATCATGACCAAGCAAGTAGATCTTTGAGTTCAACAAAGCTACTTCTCACCTAAAAAAATGCAACGTCCCTCAATTTCCCATGATGCATTGCAGTTTACTGATCCAGCTTGGTCATCAATGGCAGATGATAGTGATGATAGATGACAAGTTTTTTTTATTAGAAATTGATAACAAAGCTACATTCTTGCTCTAAAAACATCATCAACATTTATTGTAGGTCTTGAAAAGTGTAATATATCTTTACCTGATATTTTTATTTCTAAGATCTGGCAACTTTTTTTACTCTAAAACCTGCTGCTCATCTTTAAGCAAGAGAATTAATGTATTTTAAACAAACTGGTAAATAGCCTGTTGGTATATCAGCGTGACGTACCCTGTCCTTTAATAATAGATTTACATCTCTCTACAATGGAAATCATAATTGTTTCAGATATGTTATTCATCTTTTTTTCAGTAAGCTAATAGGTTCCTATTTTGTTCTATGTTCTAAATATGTCTAGTTTAATAGTTTGTTTACTTATTCAGCATTTATTACAATTGGCTTATTAAATTATTTAAATCTAACACTTGATTTAATCGTAGAATATATTTAAGCCTATATTTTAATGAAAAGATCATCTTGAAGAACATCAAGAAAAACTGACAAAAAAGGCTACTTTTCAATTACGGTAATAGTTGATTGATTAATTAACTTTAAATCAATTAATTAATCCTTATAATGCAATTCTATCACTTATTGCTACCATAATCAAGATAAGATTGTGATGCAACATATTTCATTCTAAGCTAAGGCAACTCTTATTTTTTTATGATTATTAATGACATTTGTTGAAAAATGTATTTATAAGAGCTAAAAATAAACATTTTTGGTGTATAAAAAGCCAAATTAGCTACACACTGTCCCTTTAATGAATAAAATCCTCATTAATATTTTTGTGTTTGTTCAGGTAAACATCTGGAGAAAGAGATTTCTCCAAAACTACTATTAATTGAAGATCTAAATCATTTAACAAAATAAGACAGCAAAAGAAAGCAATAAATCAATCAACACTTCAACAGCACCCTGCATTTTTTAATTTGTGTTTATGTGGTGACAGATCCCCTCACAGCAGACAACTCTACCAGATCCCTTCAGCGACATCAGCTGTGGAGGCTGGGAGGTCAGCGATGAGCCCAGGGGCCGGCTGTCTCTGTGGGCCATCTCCATCCAAGGAAAGGTACAGCTCACATCAACACACTGCAGCTAATTAAGACCCACTTTACCCCTGGAATCAATGATATGGTTTGATTATTGAACGCAAATAAGAGGTGGTTCTGTCCTGGTTTGATCATTTGAATTGATATTAAGAAAAAATAAATGTGTGTGAAAGTTTGAAGTTATTGTTATTTTCTCCACTGCACACATTGTCACATCATTACCTAACTTCTGGAAATAATTAAGCACCTGAATGTGTTTCTCTATCCTGTTTTAGCACTCATTTTTTCCATGTTTTAAATATCTAGATGTTAATTTGCTGTGAAAATTTACCATTTGGAAGTAAACATCCTTCTTCCTCTCTATTCCCTTCCTTTGGTCTGTGCATGGGGATCGTCCCTCTAGTTTCACTGTAGAAAGTACCAGTAGGGTTTCAGCAGTTCTTCAGTTCATGGTAGATCTGATCCCTAATAACTGTTAAATCTAGAACTCTCTAAATAAAATCTACCCATCTCTGGTCCATGTGGCCAAAGACATAAAAAACACCTGTTAAATAAGAAGAACATTTTCACAACACAGAATTTATGTATCTAAACCAGTTTTATTTTAACCTGTGCAGATTGGAAAGCTGCATGTGTCCCTAATTTTCTATTAAGTGTTGTCGACAAACTGTTCTGCTTATAAATATGAGTGAACTGTTTTGTTTTTAACACTGATTCTTCATCCATTTAGGTGTGGTTCAGAGAGGAAATCTCTCACCACAATCCTGAGGGGTCTGCATGGGTGGAGGTGCCTGTTCCTGGGGAGGTTGTCCAGATTAGCTGCGGCCCTGGAGACCTGGTCTGGGCGGTGTTATGGGAAGGGCAACTCCTGGTCAGGGAGGGCATCGGTCGGGACTGCTTAAAAGGTACGAGCTGCACTTTGCTCATATGGCATTCTTTTTTAGTGGTTTTTGTCTGAGAACACTGTTTCCTCTGTATGTCAGGGACTTCCTGGGCAGTGGTGGAGTCTCCAAACCCTGAGGTGGGGGCTATACATGTAGCTGTGGGGATGAATGTAGTCTGGGCTCTGACCAAAGACAACAAAGTAAGAAAATAAAAGATATTTCTACTTAATGCTGATGAAGATTCTCAGTCATCCAGGTCATAGTCATTCCGTAAAAGTTCAAAAAAATCCACTGGACTTGGTTTCCAAGACGTTTCTCCACCTCTCCAGGAAGCTTTCTCAATTCAAATGTCTGGATCCGCAGTTTGAGTCTTTATAGAGACAAGGTTATTTCATACATAGACAGGTTTCAGGTATTACAGGCTAACAATGGAACCAAACGACCCATTCATCGGTTTCCATTTGCATGTTGCCAAGCGATACAAGGCCTCGTCTATATAAAGACTCAAACTCACTGCGGATCCAGACATTTGAATTGAGAAAGCTTCCTGGAGAGGTGGAGAAACGTCTTCAAATCCTAGAAACCAAGTCCAGTGGATATTTTTGGAACTTTTATGGAATTTCTACTTAATGCAATGACATTGTAATAAAGTTATAAACAAAAATAAAGACCCTTCAACTTACCAGTTTTTTCAAATGTAAATCCCTTTATTGTCTCACACTGGGGAAATTTACTCTCTGCATTATAACCCCTCCCTTGGGGTGCAGTGGGCTGCCACTGTGCGGCGCCCTGGGAGCAGTGTGGGGTTAAGGGCCTTGCTTAGGAACCCAGAGTGCAGGCTGTAGGGATCAAACCGGGCATATGCAACCTTCTCAGGGCACAAGTGCACTGCTCTATCCACTAGGCTAACAAATGTGAATTAGTGAATTTCTCCGCTGTGAGATCAATAAAGCTCATCTAATCTAATGTTTTCAGATGTGGTTAAAGTTCTTTGGCAAAAAAATGAGCACTGGGAATAGTATTCAATACCTTAACCTATTATTGAACAATGAACCTCCCTAAATTTGAAAATGTAAAATCTGTAAAAAAGTTTAAAAAGGAATAAGGCGCGTGCTTCGGTAGCGCACGACCCATGTACAGAGGCTCTAGTCTACCCGGGTTTGAATCCGGCCCTTGGTCCTTTGCCGCATGTCTCTCCCCCTGCCCTATACCCCCTTTCCTGTCAGCCTACTTTCCATTAACAAGCCACTAGTGCTCCAAAAACCAAAATATAACATGCAAATGAATAATAGTAAAAAAGCAAGTTGCTGATGAACGCTTTAAAAAAATCTAATCGATTTTCACCTTGCTGTCTTAGGTGTGGTTCAGGCGGGGTGTGGACTCTCATAACCCCTGTGGTTCTGGATGGATCAGCATGGTTGGAGAAATGATCATGATCAACGTGGGACTGAACGACCAGGTGACTCAAGAATCCATATTCAGTATATTTGATATGTGGAAGAAAACAGCTTTATATTGAATCCTTGTAAAACTTTTGTCTCCTTTCAACTATAATCATGGATGTATTTGAATAAATAAACCAACAAGAAGTGGGTTATAATGGGGGAAATCAAAGGAAAAGAAAGCATCATTTTAAATCTTTTTCAAATAATATGGATCTCTGAGTTTTTTTTGTGCATATTTTTATGCACAAAAGCTTGAGCTCAGCCAGATTTAATGACTCATACATTTGTAAGTCATAATGGATTGAAGCTGTACTTTAACAAGGTAATTTTAACACATGAATATTTATTCAAATCTGTAGGTTTAAACCTCATGTTTAGGATTTATTTATGACTTGACTCGATTCTTATTCTGAAGGTGTTTCTTCACTAATGTTCTCAAACAATTCTGCACTATTTTATACTATGTGAAGAAAATAGAAAATGCTTGTTTTAAGGACCAAAATGCTTGTTAGAATCCTCCCCCATCCTCACTGCATCATTGTGTGGTTGTTTCCCTGTTTCAGGTGTGGGCGATTGGCTGTGAGGACCGAGCCGTATACTTCAGACAGGGTGTCACCTTCAGTGAACTCAGCGGTAAAACCTGGAAGGCCATCAATGTTCCTAGAGATGGGGATCGATCCCACTCCAGCGCTAGTGCAAACAGTCTGCATAGGTAAGGACATCCTACAGCAGGGATCTCCAGCTCCGTCTCACGTGTTTTAATGTTTCTCTACACAAGCAAAAGCCTTTTAATCACCCATTGATTGAAGTCAGGTGTTTGGAGGCAGAAAAGATCCTAAAACATGCAGTGGGTTCCCTCTCTTAAAGGATGCAAACGACGTTTTATTGCAATAAAGTGTTTGTGGAGTGTTGGTAAAAATTCTGTTTTCCTCTTTGTTCTCCACAGTGCTGGATGTTTTTTCTCTGGCGAGGTGCGAGCTCCGTCAGTCGTGAGTGATACTGAATCAGATGTAGAAAATCCACCAGGGGATGGAGCCATGAGCAATGTCACATTTCCTAATGAAGACCATTTTGTAGATGCCCCCCAGAAAGCGGCATCAGAACTTTGCATGGAGCCGCTTAAGCCCCACATCCCAAAGGTTACAAGCGACAGCTTCATCTCCGAACTCGTCTCTGACCGAAAACCGGCGAAGACCTCTGGAGATGCTGAATCAGCCTCCTCTGCTGTCTTGGAGGAGGAGGTTGCTCCTGGTGACGGAGAGGTCGATGCTGTGACCTCCACCCAGGCAGGAGGTCCTGATCCCCAGTGGAGTAATGTGGATCTGGAGGAGGCACAGATCCAGCATGGTCAGATGGGGGCCGTTCCAGACTGCGCTGACTCCTGCAGTTTGTCGTCAGTGGCAACCTACACCCTCACCATGGAGGACCAGTTCGGGGCAGATGAGCACCCACTGTGGGCCTGGGTTAGCGGAGGAGGCTGCTCTGTGGACAGCCACTCTCAGCTCAGCTGGTTTAACTGCTCTTTGAACACATGTAGGTTATATTTTCAAACAGCTCATTAGAAAGTAGATTCTATAAATAGAAAATACGACATAAAGGAGGAAGAAGTTTACATACACTTAGCGTGCAAATTAAAAGTATTATTTTCAGTAATGCGAAACAGAAGCTAAGTTAATTTCCTCAGTGCTCAAAACTAAAGTTATATGTTTAAGTACACACAAAAAAAAAACTCCCCAAAAACTGGTATTAGGGTAAGTGTTGGAGGCTGCAGAGGAACCCTGTGAAGTTGTGGAACCGGTATCAAACTTCTGGCTTAAACAAAGTTTGCTTAGCAGCAAATTCCACACGCCTAAAGTTAGCATGTTTGAACCTGTTTTAACACAGTTTAGGATCATTGTTTTGTTGAATTTCTCTATCAAAGTTTCAACTATCCTCTGTAATGTCTCAGCTCTCTAACCATGAAGCTGCCAGAGCAATGATTGAAACTTGGTGTAGGCCTCAGCTTTTTCATTTGCTTTGGAAGTTTAGCTAAATATGATCAATCTTTTCCTCATGAAACTATTCTTCAGAAAAGTTTGGCTCTAAACATCTTTACAGTAAACAGCAGTACTTTTGGTATATATATTAAAGTCCCATCCCAACAGAATAAGATACACATACTGAATATTTTAAAGCAAAACTAAAATACAGAAACAATTATGTGAAAATATATCTGGGAAGGTTTAAATGTCCTCTAGGATAAGTCTAATATCACAGCTTTCCAAAAACAAGTTTATTTTTAGGAAAATCGGTTATTCTTTCCATTGCATTGATCCGAGCATTACTCAGTTTTGATCCAGCTATGAGCTTAATAACCGTCTTTAGCTTCTAACGCTGCAAAGTCTATGAATCTAAACTGATGGGCTTTCATTTCAAGATCTGTTGGATATCGGTGTAGGTGCATTGAGAAATAAAATGTCTTTATTTTTGTTGATACCAACATGTTTATACCAATGGAACTCTCTGCATTTGAAACCACTATCAGGTATCAGGTATAGGTATATTAATTCACATATTTAAGTAGTTTTAACAGCTGCTGCTGGTTTTTGTGATTTTTATACGGATCATTTCGAATTAATTTTCTAACCCTACTTTTATTTAGATGCACTTTCCACGATTCAAATTTCTATGCTGATTTCTCTTTAGATTCTGAGCAAAGACACTTTTCATAGAATCACACAAACCAATCCTCTATTTAAACATTTTGTTACATCAGTTCCTCTACTGATGTCAACCTTGGTCTCTAAATGGACTGTTTTCATTTTTTTAATGGGATCAAACTTCTTGAAGATGTTTTTTCCTGTCCCATCTCTATAGATTATGTCCTATATATCTTACAGAGTTAGTCATTTACTCAAATGTGGGATAAATCCTCTGGCTTTTCTCATTTTTATTTAAATTAAATTCAGTTTATTTCTATATTATCTATATATTCTATAAGTCATCTCAAGGCACTTTACAGTTCACTAGATCATCCAGTCAGATTGATTAAAAGTTTTCTGTCTGAGGAAAACCAGCTGATTGCATCGACTCATTGACTCAAAGGCACTCCGTCAAACTAAGCATGCTTGTAGAGACAGTGGAGAGGAAAAACTCCCTTTGAACAGGAAGAAACCTCCAGCAGAACCAGACTCGGTGTGAGCGGCCATCTGTTGAGGCCGACTGGGGTTCAAGGAGACAGAAGCAGAGATACAAAAAGCAACTCTCAACCTGCCTCACAGGGGGTCCTGTCCAGCAAACACTCAGCCAGGCAGATGAGTTCTGAGTCAGCTTGCCATTTTTAAGCAAATGTTTCCTTCTTCCCTTTATAATAATACAGAAATTGCTTTACTGGGGACAATTAAACTGGTTTCCAGTAGCTTCTAGTTTATGATACTTGAGCCCATTAATAGTGGATGCTTGTATATAATTAAACCTGTACATATGACTTTGGTCCTTATCTAGGACCGAATCTCTATGACAAATTTAAACTGATTATTCCACCCAGAGAAGCAGGATGATTTAAAAGCACATTTTAGAAACCCAGTGTTGACGTTTATGCCTGTAATCAATATGTGCAAACTTGTGACACTTATTCCATCCTCTAAGGTTTTCAACTTATGTTTCTTTACCTGTCTTCCACCAGCTGTGCTGCAGTCGGTTCAGTCCATGAGTCTGTCGGTGTCTCCTGCTCAGACGGCAGCTTGGAGGAAACAAATCTTCCAACAGCTCAGTGAACGCTCCAAGAGAGAGATGGACGATTTCAAACATTATGAACAAGCCATTGAAAAAGTAAATGCTGTAAAGATCACGCAGTGTTTCCTGCTGTGGCCTTTTTTCTGTTTTGACTTGAACTGTTTTTGCAGTCGGTGTGGGTGAAAAAAGGAGCCATGCAGTGGTGGAGAGACTGGAAGCCGCATAAGTGGGTTGATGTTCACTTCGCACTCGAGCAGTTTTCAGGAGCTGATGGCAACAAGGATGGAATTTTATTTGTTTATTACAATTACCATGACGAGAAGAAGGTAAGGATCTTTTAGTGTAAATGGGGGTTATGCATTTATAGAACGTCTCATTTATAATCAGTTGTCCACATATGCTTATAGTCTGTTTGAGGAGCGTAAATTCTTCGCTGGAATCCATTATTCTCTTTGTCTAAATACTGACATAAAACTCAGAAGCTGTTTTGTTTTCTCCTTACTCTGTCTTATTTTAGTACCTTCATGCCTTCATTAATGAAGTCACAATCCTGGTTCCTGTGCTCAATGACTCCAAACACACTTTTGCCGTCTACACCCCTGAACGTACCAAACAGAGATGGCCGATTAGATTGGCGGCTGCCACAGAGCTGGAGATGTACGATTGGGTGTGTATACAGCTAAATCCACAACTAAATGCTTTATTTCTAACCTTTTATGAATGTAATGATGTAATTAAAGATAAGATGTAATGTTATTCACACTACAATTCAATTCATTTGTTCAAATCAGTTTATTTATATAGAGCCAATTCACAACACATGTCATCTCAAGGCACTTTACAGTTCAACCAGATCATCCAGTCAGAATGATTCAAAGATTTATATCTTAGGAAAACCAGTTGATTGCATCGACTCATTGACTCTTCAGCAATCCCTCACACCAAGCATGCTTTGTAGTGACAGTGGAGAGGAAAAACTCCCCTTTAACAGGAAGAAACCTCCAGCAGAACCAGGCTCAGTGTGAGCGGCCATCTGCTGAGGCCCACTGGGGTTCAAGGAGACAGAAGCAGACATAGAAAAAGAAGCATAGATACAGAAAGCAGCTGTTAAAGGCGGCCCCGTCCAGGAAACACACAGCCAGGCAGATGAGCTCCGAGCCAGCTCCCATGCCAGAGGATGAAGAGAGCACATCCAGTTAGTCACAGTCAGAGAAACAGGACTACACTGGAAAACACGCCAAGCTCCAACATCTATAAACAAATGTGTTGATGGCAGCAGCACAGCTGATATTTTTATCCAGGATAATTTTACAGCCAAACAGGAACAGATCAGATGAAGCTACTATGATGAGAGAAAGCAGAGAGAGCAGAATGTTAGAGATTGGACTAACAAATACTGCAGAATGGGAGAATAGAAATATAATGATGAATAAGGATCCCTATTTTCTCCAGCAGTCTACGCCTATCACACCAAAAATGCAAAAAATAGCTCAGGTTAACCTAAGTATTTAGGATGAGGTATAAGAAAGGTAGAGCCGCAGTGGGGCCAAGCTAGAGCCACGGAGAAACGTCTATCCAGACTGAGATTCTACCCCGCCGGATCGGGCTGTTAACGCTACTATTCTTGTTTAAATAGATATAAATAGGAATTATAGATTCATAGAAAGACAGACAGGAAGATAAAGTTTGGTAATGTGGTGCAGCCTTATTTTAAGAAATACTAGCAAAATCTTGGTGCACCTTCATTGATAAGGTGAACAGCTGCACCAAATATCACAGCCAACATAAGCTGATATTTCACTGTTGGACATAAATAGCAAGAGTAATATTTCTAATCACAAATTACAAATAATAAATTAACTTCACTTTATACCTGGAGTCTGACGTCAATAGTCCGGTTTGTACAGAAGCATGCCACACAGAGCTGAGGCCTCTCCTGCTGTTTTAGTTCAGCCAACCCGGTAGGACGACCGCTCCAAGATGGCGGCCGTAATTCATGCATCACAGCAAACAATTCAGGGTCTACTCTTTATTAAGGGTTTGTTTCAGCATTTGAATACAGCAGAATAACCTCTGACCTTTCTGCCATGAGATGGTTCTCATGAGGCGAGGGTTCAAAGTAAGGCAGCCGTTTATGACTCATGCTTCACAGAAACAGCATGAACTGGATACAGTGAAAGATCAGAGATGGCATCCAATCCAACAAATGGGCAAATGCCAGGCAGGCCAGCTGATAGCCTTGGCTAGGCCTAGAATAAAATAACAGAATTATGACCAACATCTGTCATATTTATTTCATGTGGGACCCCCAGAACTGTATCATTAGCCTATTCATTTACTGTTTACATAGGAAATATTTATATAAATATTCAATATTGAATAATCAATGTAAAACATTTGGGGAATTGATAAGAATTTAATGGCTAAAAATGTAGCTTTTAAAACCAAAACCTTTGGGCTTCCTGTGCTTTTTATCATGATATCAGCAGCAGATCATCTTATGAAAATGAAAGTGAAATGACTGAGATTCTTTTATACTGTAAAAGGAAAAAAGCACCTTCCTTTTTTGGGCTGGACAACTATTATTTGTTGTGTAAACCTGAAAAAATAATGTTAAATATAAGGACAAGAATTCAGTTAATGAAACCAAGGTGTTTATAATATTAAACTATATTGACTGAGTTTCCTGGACTTCTACTGCTTAAGTAGTTGGTTATCTAAACGGGTAAAAGTCCATCTAACTCTTTATTTTTGTTGTAAAATGTGGGAAAAGCAACTTTTGCAGTAGGCCTTTGAGTTGGTGCCTAGATGTTAATTTAATGTTCAATTATAAATTAAAATAAATAAAAGTGTTGCTAAAGATTATTGGTTGATTTATAAAGTGCTTCACAACAACCAACTAAGGTGACCAAAACACTTTACAGTTAAAGAGATGCTGCCAATTAAAATAACAATGTATGTTATTGTAAAGTAAAATAAAAACATTTCATTCAATTCCTTTTTAAGGTAGAATTTCTTACTGGTAATTAAGGATTGGAACCACCATGGGTGGCCTTTTGCTCAGCGATTGGAGAATTAGCTTTTTGGAGCAACAGTAAACGTTGGAAGTCCAAACTCTGTCTGTTACTGTTACTGAGAGAAAAAAAAAAAAGTGAGATAAAAAAAAAGTTGGAAACAGCAGAGCCTCTAAATGATATCTGTTGGATTGTCCAAATTTCACCTTCATCTAGTGCAGATAAACAGCAGGTTTCTGGCAGCAGGACCATCAGAGCAGAGTCACAAAGCGGGTTGTCTGTAGTTAAGAGTGAGGCGTGTTCATCAGGTGACGTGTCTCCATCAAAGTGATGGAGCCCGACCCAGAGCTCAGTGCGCTCTCATCTGCTGTTACCTGTTGCGCATCGAGGATCTTTATTCCTGAACAACTTTATAAAATAGAAGATACATCCGTGGCCAAACCATTTGTAGGAATAGGAGAGGAAGGTTACAATTGTGTAGTGTTGGCCTAGTGATTAGAGCAGTGCGCTTGTGTTCTGAGAAGGTTGCAAATGCCCGGTTTGATCCCCACAGACTGCCACTCTGGGTCCCTGAACAAGAAACGTAACCCCACACTGCTACCCAGGCGCCGCACAATGGCAGCCCACTGCTCCCTAATGGGTCGGGTTAAATGCAGAGATACATCTCTCCAGCGTGAGGTCGATAAAGCTCAGTTATTATTATTATCAATTAATTATTACAGTACTTCCCCACTACTGCAAGAGCAAATTGGAAGAAAACAAAAGTCATAAAAGATACATTTATATATATATATTACTTATCAAGCCTTTTTAGTTCCTTATAAACAGCAAATTTTTTTAGCAAATTGTTGTGGCCATAGTTGATGGACGGAGAAGCCAGTTCTAGATATTCAGCATAACCTAGTCTGCTTGGGGGGTGATTTAATGAGAAGAAATCCGAAATCCTAAGAAAAAAGGTCAGAAATGAAGAATAACTACTAGTTTTTTCACATTTTATTTGCCTTAAGCTGTAATTATAGGTGAGCCAGGAGGGCAGGAAAATCCAACCTTCATGTTGGGTACCAAGTGAATTAACTGAAATGGGAA